TACCAACCTCGCGTCAGCTTAAGAAGATCAGTTTATAAGATCACATAAATTAATATATCAACGTCAGCTATTGTATTTTAATAAATTCTATATTAACAACTTCGTGCCTGCTTATTGAAGAAAAAACATTGAATTATGTCTTTTCTATTTCTAGACAGCCAAAGATTCTAAAACTCTATTCAATATATTGCTATTTATACGTTCGTTTTCTCAAAACAACTCGTTATATAGTTTTCTCCAAAGGTGGAGACTGCGTGAACCTAGATACTTTCTGAATCTTGATGTTGTATCTACTCATATTAATATTTGCAAGACCTACAGGCGGGAGTTCTGTATAGAGGAGTATTTCGTCAAGAACAACGTGAAATCACATTGTTGAAGTATGCTGGGGATAAAGACGACTCCTTCTTCTGTGGAGGCGAATTCTGCATGAATTACAACTTACCGTAGACAACTAACTACAATAAGAAACCTTTATTGCTCCATCTGAAAATGGTTATTTTTGTTTTTTCTAGACTGAGTTACCATTGACGGTTGATCCTTTGCTGGCTTCTGGAAATCCATCCATTCCGGTGGCTCGTCGTCACCTCGGCGATTCGTTAGATCATCGGTTAACGGTCAGCTGGAACAACTTCGTGTCCACAACGGATAGCAAGTGTTTGATTACTTGTGGGTATCCGGACTACAGTTTCCGTGTAATTGATACAGATTCAGGTCAGAGATCACATTGATAGTTGAAAAATTCTATGGTACACCAGTTGTTAGTTGTTCATTTATTTACTTAATTACATTTTGTTAATATCTGTAGATGCTCTCGAAGTGTAAAATTTTGTAAAATGTGAAGTAGAGTGTTTGAAAACTTATGGTGCGGTGCCGTTTCGAAACAATTTTGAGCCTTTTATTGTGAAATTTTACAAGAAAGCATGAAACTCAGTTGAATACTTTTATTCAACACTCGCATGAAAGCTCATGTTTTCGATTTTCAGAAGAAAACCGTATTGAAAAATCGAGGGCTTTTAATCGTTTAGCACGGGTGCGGCAAGTAATCTACGGTCATGGTGATGTCGTGACGTGTATTGCCAGATCAGAGACGAGTCTATTTGCCGATTGCTATGTGGTGACCGGAAGCAGTGACTGTACCGTTGCTTTATGGCATTGGAATGGAATGGTACTTGTTGTAGACAAGAACTGCTTTGTAAAATTACTTTCTTAAAATTAGCATGGTTATCCTGTTCTTTGCGCTTATGGAATGTCGTTAATTGATATTATTCGGACTAAGTTTTCACTTCGTTCGTTTATTTCACTTTTATGGCTTGATACCTAGTTTGCTCTTACTTACTTGGATACTTGTGGACGGCCCATCTTCATTAGTTGTGTGGGGCCAACACAATCTCCACTTTTTCATTTTTGGAGACTTGCCGGTTGAGCCATTGTGGTTCCCTGGGATCCCGAGGTTAGCCTGATCAAGGTCTGCCACAGTTTGGTCCACGTATTCATATTTTTCTATGACTAAACTAAGTGAGAGCTTTAGAACCTGACACGTTTATAGAAGAGGTTTTGTTCAAATATAGAATTTTAAATCCTTTAACGCAAGTGCGGCAAACACCACGTTGGAAAAAAAGAGGAAAAATTGAGTAGGTTATGGTAGATAAGATTCTCAACCCATTCGTTAAAGTTCGTAATCAGCGGTGATATGTTTGAGACGACGAGTGCTAATATTTTCGGCTACGCATCAGTTGAAGTCAATCCGTACCGGCTCCTATCTTTTTAAATTGTCACTACATTTATTCAATACCTTTTCAATACTTTTCCTCTTTTGCAAGAGTCCCGAACTTTGAAGGAATTTCACGGTGCTGTACTTTTCTTTATATTTCAATTTCGGTCTGTTTGCAAGGAATTTTTGGGTTAAGACTTTGTGATTCTTAAGATATCATTATTGTTCTAATAGCAAGGATTCATTGCTGGCGAATACAACACGTTTGGAGAGACGGCGTCACCACGAGCGATTCTAACTGGACACGAAGCAACGATTTCTGCCCTGGCTGTTTCAGCTGAGCATGGAATCGTTCTGAGCGGGTCGGAAGGTGAGTGCTTGGGTTCCTGACAAAGTAAGATATACGTAAATCAATGTTTTTCATCAATAAGCAGACACGAGGTTGTTAATATAGAATTTATTAGAACACAATTGCTGACGTTTCGGCGGTTTCGCCTTCTTCAGAGCCTGGAAGGGTCAAATTGAGATGTGATCTACTCAGCCAAACACTTTCACAACCCTAGCAGATAAAACTTGACAATTCGATTTGCATTCGCATAAGAAACAGCTTCATTCAAACACCTACCGTTTATTTGTTGTAAGTATTTAAGTTAGTTGGTGGATAGCCGCCGCACAGAGTAATACATGGTCGATAACTGGGTCCATGTCAGATCATTGGATCAGCCTGAGGTATGGCGCTAGGTCACGCGTGATGACAAGACACTCCTCCTTGCGGTTCATTTTTGAATTTTTGGCATTGATCCAAAACGCTTCAAGAGTTTTACGCGCTGATGTTTTTGATTCCTGCGTAAGGATAGTGACTCCTACCTCAAAATCTTCTCCGTTGTGTTCCTGCATTNAATGTTTTTCATCAATAAGCAGACACGAGGTTGTTAATATAGAATTTATTAGAACACAATTGCTGACGTTTCGGCGGTTTCGCCTTCTTCAGAGCCTGGAAGGGTCAAATTGAGATGTGATCTACTCAGCCAAACACTTTCACAACCCTAGCAGATAAAACTTGACAATTCGATTTGCATTCGCATAAGAAACAGCTTCATTCAAACACCTACCGTTTATTTGTTGTAAGTATTTAAGTTAGTTGGTGGATAGCCGCCGCACAGAGTAATACATGGTCGATAACTGGGTCCATGTCAGATCATTGGATCAGCCTGAGGTATGGCGCTAGGTCACGCGTGATGACAAGACACTCCTCCTTGCGGTTCATTTTTGAATTTTTGGCATTGATCCAAAACGCTTCAAGAGTTTTACGCGCTGATGTTTTTGATTCCTGCGTAAGGATAGTGACTCCTACCTCAAAATCTTCTCCGTTGTGTTCCTGCATTCTATGCGCGCCTAGTGGAGTATTTTGTTTTAGTTTAGATTTACCGACCAGGTGTTCTTTTATGCGGACGCAGAGCGGTCTACCCGTTTCGCCAACATATTCGTGCCCGCACGCTTTACAAGAGATCAGATAGACTGTACCCGAACTCATGCAATCACCGTCTCTACCATTTGGGCAAATTATGCAGTTTTTTGTTGTACATAGACGGTCGTATAGGCGGTTGCGAACTAGCTGGCGTCTAAGAGTGTCCGGTGGTATTTCTATCACTCTTACGGAATTCTCTAGAACGGCCCTTATTAAGCAGCGTTTTATAGCTGCACTTATTTCGTTTGAAATAAAGAGCAACAGGAACGGAGCCTTGTTTTCGCTAGAATTATCGCTCTGGGGCGTGGGATTTCCTCGATGCCTATCCTGAGAAGCTACAGTTTCGTAACCATTTGAAATGGCTATTTGCCGCGCCAGTTTCGAGGATTCTTCCCTCTGCTCTCTACCTGTGCACACGCTAGCGGCGGTTCGAAACATATTTCTTATAAGCGCTCTTTTAGTGTGTGAGGGATGAGAGGGGAGGTAATGAACCACTATATTCTTACTGCTTGGCTTTCGATACCATTTTGTGTTGTAGCCGTTCTCGGATAGGTTAATTTGAAGGTTTAGAAAAGGAAGCCAGTTTTCTTTCGGTTTCTCACGGGTGAATTTTATGTACTCTGACTGTTCATTCAATAACTTAAAGCATTTGTCCTTCTCCTCTTGTGTGGAGCAGATGACAAAACAATCATCTATATACCTACAGTAGAGTAATGGAAACCGCCGAGACGTCAGCAATTGTGTTCTAATAAATTCTATATTAACAACCTCGTGTCTGCTTATTGATGAAAAACATTGAATTATCAATTAATGCCGAGGTTAACAGATAGTCGGTCTTGGGAATTATACGTAAATCCCTCATTTGGAGTTTTTGTGAACGTATTGTCCACTACGCAACGCACGATTTAGAGACTATCGTAGGTAGTTACGCGTACAAATGCACTTTGTGGTTAAACTTTATTAGAAAGCCTCTTATGTAACTTCGTCAAATCCTCAGGTATTAGAGTCCTTATAGAGCGGACACGAAACTATTAATAACGAGTTTTATTCGATATAATACTGGCTGAAGTTTTTGCGGATTTCGCCTTCTTCAGAACGTGGAAAGGTCAAGTTGATTGCGACCTACTGTACCGAATATCTCCATAACCTCAAAAAAGAAAACATGGCACGTAAATTCCAATCATATTGGAATCAAAAAAGCTTCTTCATTCGCTCACTCTATTCTATGAGTCTTTCATGGAGTATTCCGCATAGACACCAACCATATAGAGTTCACATAGATGGGCAACCTGCTTCTCGCATATTAAAATATCAGTCCAAGATATTGCATGAGATCACAGGTGGTAATGAGGCATGCCTCCGTTCAATTCATTTTTGGATCTCTGAAATTTGTCCGGAATAATTCGAGGCTGTTTTGGATTTTTGTGCTAAGATAGTGTGACTTTTATTTCAAAATCTTTTGTATTACGCCTTTGTCTCCTATGCGTGCCTAGTGGAGCATCTGATTTGACTTTAAGTTTACCAACTATGTGTTCTTTTATACGGATGCACACTGATCCACCGTTTGGTCAGCATATTCGCCCCAAATCCTTTGCAAAAGATTGGGCGCACCGCACCCGAAGTCAAGCAATTGTCATCTCTACTGCTAGGTCAAATCGTACAGTTTTGTGTTATACACAGACGGTCATACAGGCGGTCACGAAGGAGCTGGCGTCTGAGAGTGTTCACTGATGTCTCGATCACTGCTACCGAATTCTCTGGACCGTCTTTTTTTAATCATCGCTTTATAGCTGTGATTATTTCGTTGTAAATGAACAGCAAATTAAACGGAGCCTTTTTTTTCGCTGGAATTATCGCATAGGGACGTTGCTCATACTCTTATTCCGAGAAACTACCGACTCGTAGCCGTTTAAATTGCTGTTTGCTGCGCTAAGTTCAAGGATTCTTCTGCATGCCAGTGCACGCACAAGTGGCTGTGCGAAGCGTTTTTCAGAAGCGCTCTTTTTATATGTGAGGGGCGAGAGGAGAGGTACTGATCCGATATGTTTTTACTACGTGGCTTTCGATACCACTTTGTGACTTTACCGTTTTCAAAGGGACTAGTTTGAAAATTCAGAAATTGAAGCCATTTTTATCTCGGATTCTGTTGCCTAAACTTAATGTATTCTGACTGCTCATTCATTGACTCGAAACAGTTAATCCATCTACTGTTTTGTCTAGCAGGTGACAAAATTTCATCTGTATACCTACAGCAGAGTAATGGTTGGACATCAATTACTGGTGCTTCCACCTATGACATAAAGGCAAAGGCAAGGCTTGGTGTCAGTCGCTGTAGCCTTGTCAATCCTCTCATTTTTGCGAAACACTTTCCGCACATGGAAACTCGTTTTTCCAGAAGAAAGAAAGCGGTCGCTGGACATGGGAGTCTCCCAACGGCATGACACATGCGGAGATCGACCATATTCTGACAAACAGAAGATGGTGCCTACTTGACACATCGGTAGTCCTGCCATTCTATACTGCTTTTGATCACCGCCTTTTTCGCGCAAAGCCAGGAGCAAGTTGGAAAAGAATTCTCTTCATCGACCAAGAGAAAAAAGTTTAGCTGTATACGACGAAAACATTCTGAACGAAGTCCTTTCCAAACGTGACTGGCAGAATGAAGAAGACCCGACTGAAGGCTACGAGCTGCTTGTCGAAGGACTGAAAAGTTGCGCCAAATTCGCCTCAGTTCCTCAAGCAAGAAGATCAGATCGCATCTTCATCATTACTAAGGAGTTGCTCGAAAAGAGAACGAAACTGAAACTTGGTCCTACTGGAACACGTTCAACATAGCTAGTAATAAATGTCAGCTACAGAAGAGCTTTGCAAGAAGGTCTACAACGGTACAAGCAGAAGAAAATACTGGAAGCAGCAGAGAAAAGAGGCAGTCTGAAAAAATTCCGTTGGGACTTGTGTGATCATAGCGTTCCGCTGTCGGCCCTGATGAACGAAAATGGGATCGTCAAAACTTTCCGCCATGATATGGAATTAATAGCGGAAACGTTCTACACCAACTTTTTCCGTTCCACAATCCCCGTTTCGGGCTCTAATATTCTCGCTGGACGAAACCATTTGTAATTCTTCCGGCGGAGGTGCGAGTTACGATAGAAAACATGAAAAGAGGCACAGCTCCAGGACCAAACAATGTCATCGCCAGTTTCCTTAGAACTGGAGGCCACAATTTACATGTACTTCTCGCAGATCATATGACAGGTTACTTTCAAAAGGAAAAAATCCCAGACCAGCGGAGGACGTCACACGCGGTCATCCTGCCCAAGAAAGGAGACCGATGGGCTCTTCGTAACTATCTTCCCATATAGTTGTTTAGTGTTCTCTACAAGCTCTTCACGAAGATTATCCTCTCGACAATGGATGAGGCGCAACCAGTCGAGCAGCAGGATTTCGAAAGGGATTTTGCTGCATGGACCACATCCAAACTGTGTCTAGCATCATCGAAGGTTGTCGGGAATATCACTTGGGTCTAATCCTAACCTTTGTCGACTATGAGAAAGCGTTTGACAGTGTCGAAACGAATGCAATCCTATCAGCGCTCGTCGACCAATGAGTGGATCCGTCCTACATAAGGACTCTGTCCGACTGTTATCGGAACTGCACTACGAAAATACAGCTTTCCCAGCGACCTCTTACAATACCCATAGGAAAAGGGGTTCGACAGGGCGACACAATATCGCCAAAGCTGTTCAGTGCCGCACTGCAGTGGATAACGAAGTCATTCGGTTGGGGTGAGAAAGGCCTACGTATTGATGAAAAATTCCTATCAAACCTTCGTTTTGCCGATGACATTGTCATGTTCTCATGAAGTACTAGCGAAGCAGAGGTGATGATCAACGAGCTCAACGAGGTGGAGAAAAAGATCGGACTTCGCTTAAATCGAAAGAAGATCTCTCATTGCTCTCTCATTGCAGAGACCACCTCGGACGTATACGTTGGGTGATCAATGAACATGGAAAACAACATGAAAGAGGAACTAGATAGAAGAAGGAGAGCAGCTTGGGCCGCATTCGGGTATCTCAAAGAATCCACCGACCAACTGAAGGACGCGAAAATCCGCGCTCATCTCATCGGTTCTACAGTCCTTCCAGCGCTCTGTTATGCTGCAGAGACATGGGTTGATACTTCAACCATGTCAAGAATGCTTCGCACTTCTCACAAAGCGCTTGAGCGATGTCTTCTGAAATATAACCGGTACTCTGAATATATAACCGCAATGCAAAACTCTAACGTTCGAAAAGTTTCACATGTTCGAGATCCAGGAGAATATACATAGACAGCGAAACATAGATGGTCACATAATGAAAAAAGCAGGCGACATATGATCGAAAAGAACAGTAGAGTGGACTCCAACAGAATGCAAATGTCCCCTTGGACGACCAAATACACGTTGGGCGGACGTGTTCGTAAACATGGTTAATTAGTTGTACCCACAGCTGCAGTTGTTTTACAGATCACGGTATGAGTCTCGCAAGCGCTACCATGCTCGAACAAGTCCACCACCATGGACTACGATTGCGAGAGAAAGGAGCAAATGGCAAATGTGCTGGGGTCCGCACAGCTCGTGAAGGCGGACCATTCAAGTATCCAAGTACTTTCCGGACCATTTAAAGACTGAGCAGTTAGGCACTCTTTCAAAAGAGCCATGAGCTGTTAGATGGACAGTTTACATGTTTACTGCTCCATTGTGTCGATGCGTTTGTATGGTATATGGATGTGTATATTCTAATATGTTATACATTTATATTTATGTATATGTAGATGTATATGGGATGCATACATTCTGTGTATATTCTATATATGTGTCCCCAACAAAAGAAGCACATTCCAAGATCGAATTTCTTTCAACCCGATCAATAATTCAGTTTTTCTGATGGGTAAGTATGAGGTTGGTATTAGAAAATTTATTAATACACATAGCTGTGGTGAAAACAGTCTAAGATACACAGCCATAAAACTTGCATAGAAAAGGTAGTAGTGTGTTCGATCTCCACCACAGATACCTGCGGTCCGGAGTTTTGCAAATATCTCAACATTGTATCTCATATGAAATTCTGCCGTGAAAAATTGTAATAGGCAGTAAATAAAAAGTCAACATTGTCCGCTAGTTCGTCACCGCTTGTATGATCACTGTTGTATAACAGAAATATGTAATTTGACTTAGCGATAGAGCAATGATTGCATAAGTTCGGGCACGATGAATTTGAAATGGAGCCTACTTATCATCATCGCAAAGGTTTCTAAACCTCAGTGCGTGAAACCCTCGGAGCATTCCGGATAAATTCCGAGAATCTAGAAATGAACACGAGAGAAGAAAACCTCTCCACCACAGATATTCTCATAAAATATCTCAGCCTTAACGTTAGAGGGACTCATTATCCATTCATTTGAACTTGATAGTATTCTTCTCTACGTGGACGACTCAGCGAAAGACGCATAAAGAGCAGTACGTGTATAAAGAAACTGTTTTGACTCCAATGCAATTGAAATGAGCCTTGCCAGGTTCTGAAAAGGCCAAAATTTACCAAAACGTGAGCTATTATTATATTGGATAGACTTTGTTATCAACAACCTCACGTTTGCTTAAGGATATTTGTATTTTACTTTACTTTGTTTCACATAACCCATCTTAACGTCTACTTTGCGGGTCCCAACACCCTTGGATTCAATTAGCTTTCCATACCTATCGTCCCCGAAAGTCTAGCAACTTCTCGCATGTGTGTCCCGCTGTTGCTTGAAGATTTTTTGCCTTTTTCACGAATGTCGTTGAATGCTGATCGAGTCGATTCTCCCTGATGTTCTGGGTTAGCCGGATTAGAGTATTTCCAGTTGGATTACAGAAAGCTGACCTTTACCAGACACAGCTGGTACCAATTTATTTTTCGATGCTGGAGAAATAAGAAGCTTGATGGAACCAGGCCGTGTCGAACCAGCATCATGTCCTGATGAAGACAACACTGCTTCCACTATCCACCGCCCTGTTATCGAAATGTTATGAATAGTCATTGAATGGGTGGGATCGTCATGAATGTGTTAATGAATGAACATGTAAAAACTGTTGGCGAAGTGATGATTGACAAAATGTGTATACGATTTTTGTCATGATGATACACTGTGTGTGTGATTTGTTCCCTTCACGATGCGTGTTTAAAATAAATTAGTGTCTTTTGTTTTAACGGTAAAGGTAATCTATGGTTAGAAAACAGACTTTCTTCACTGTTGCTTTAGATGGCACGATTCTGATGCACACAACCGCAGGCGATCAGCTGAGGATATGGAACGGGCGCCAGCGTGTTTCGCTTTTGCTGATGAGTCGTGAATGTGTATTCATGGTCATTTATGGACATTATCGCTTCGTCACTTTTTCCACAATGGCAAACCGTCTTGACGAGACGGTGATAGATGAGAAGTGGGTTCCTCTTAATATATGCGACTATTAATTCGTTTTTCTTTTGCTTCGCTACCAAAATCTAAGAGGTTTTCATGAATTCCACTTTACCATCTTGTATAACTCGTTGCTCAATTTATAATTCGAGCATAGTAGCTGGCTGTAAAAGGATAATAAGAATCAACCCTGAGCATTGATCAATCGTTGATAGATGCGCCCACGCATTGGATTTTATTAAACATCGTTAGAAGTGATTGAATGCATATCTGGCTTTTACGTTAGCGTTAGCTCTCAGTGGCCTGTGTCTCGAATCGGTACTGCTATCAATCCAGGCAGTTCTGCTACCAGTTAGCTAATCCCGGAGGGAAGAATGACTTGGTGACAGCCTGGGGCGCGGGATCGATTCTATGTGTATTTAAGGCGCCTCCGACCACTGCGTTACATGCGCACAGTTAGCCTTTGGTTTATTTACGGAAAAACGATTGAGTACTGTATTTGACAATACTTGGCTCGTGAACCAGTGGATGTTTTTTGAATGCAGCTATAGTTTGTAAGTCTTGACATAAGAGAACTTATAATGATTACGTGTTGATTTGTGCCTAATTTAACGTTGAAATATGAAGACTAAGTGTCGTTAATCACTATAGACTCATTGGTTTGGTAAAAACGAGTAACGCAGCTGTAAAAGGTTTGGTGATTGGCGAAAGAATGTTGTGCAACTAAGCTGTATGACGCATGGTCTCAAATTGGTGTAATATGAAAGAAGGTATTCATAGTTTTGAAAGCATTGTAGGATTGAATGCGCATGCCTTACGAGAGACGGGGAGTACGTCATAACAGGCTCGGAAAATGGGCGCTGCGCTATTTGGAGATTGTTTCCGTTGCAAAGGTTGTACGCCTTCCAGGTATGCTTCTTGTTGATTTATCGTGTTTCAGTTCAACACAAAATGGTATAGTGCTGAATTTTATGTGTCGTTTTCTTTTTATTTGACTTTTAAACAGTGAGGTTTTTAAACAGCATACATTTACTTCCATAGAAAAACACAATACAATACAACGCTAGCTGACGTTTCGGCAGTATCGCCTTCTTCAGAGCCTGGAAGGGTATGCTGATATACAATCTACTAGGCCAAACGCTTCAATAACACTTACACAAAGACGAAAACTCTATGGTAATTACATGATCAACAACTTCTCGAAAAAACCCACCGCTTCTTCGAGACTTCCAATGAGGAAGTTTAGAACAGCTGATTATAGTCGCATGTGGTTGACGACTGCACCATCCCACATCAAAAATCGATGCGAACGTACGGGATCAGGTCGCGTATGACCTCCGGGCATTCATCCCTGCTATTCATTGTAGGGTTTTTGGCCTTTATCCAAAAAGCCTCAA